CAACAGTAGTGAGGTTGGCCCAGGATCGGGCAGTGTTTCGTTCTGCTGTGCATAGGGTCACTATGAGTCGGTACCGACTCGATGGCACCTAACAACAACAACTGCCTTCTGAGGCCTGTTGTTTGCCTGTGAGGCGAGAAGGGTGTACTAGGAACAGTTCTTATTGGGAAATCAGGAGACCTGACTGGCTTCCCTCCCCAGGTCAGGTGTGGGTTACGATGATCTGACAACTGACCTCAGCTTGTTCTTGAATGAGAGTTTTATTCAGAGACAAGTGGCCCTTGGGTCTGGGCCTGATGAAAGGCTGCCCTGAGGAGAACAACAGAGGCATTCTTTAAGCTCATTTGTCCATTTTGCATAGTCATCCTCTCTTACACAGAATTGCTCTTAGCAGTTTCCATCATGGGAAAGACCTGTGGGTTACACGTTGGACTACTAACCGCTAGGTCAGCAGTTCGAACCCACCAGCTAGCTGCTCCATGGGAGAAAGATGAGGCTTTCTGCTCCCATACAGAATTACAGCCTCGGAAACCCAATAAACAGGGGCAGACATGCAGCATGGCAGGCTCTTAAAGAGTTTTATTCCCGTCTTGAGAGTCCCTCCCCCAATTAGTATGGGGTTCACAACCTAGCTCAGATGGTGCCCATGGCCTTAATGACTGGATTCTTATTTAAAGTTCCTGTCCTAGAATAGATTTCTTTTCCCCCCTCCCCCAATTCATCCAGTTCACATCCCCCTGTGTGTGAATCAACAACCTCTGGCCTAGCAATCTCTTGCACCCTTTATTCCTGAAGATGGACGTCTTGAGAATTTCTCACAAGGGAAAGCCAATCAGATCCCAGTTCTACAAAGTAGCCTTGTGAGGAATGCAGATGAAAGGTGGCGGTCTCTGTCCATTGCCCAGACCGAGTCTCATCATTTATTCATCAATCAATAATTTACTGAGCATGCTCACCCTGGGGGACTGTGAGGGATATGAAGGCAGGCAAGCAAGGCTCTGCATGAAGACATTTACCAGTTGAGGAGCGAGACCACTCACATACAGGAGAAAAGAGCTTTAATCACAGAAGGTAGAAAGAGGAGCATGTGTCAAATGAGTGGTATGGACCGAATCCTGGAAGTTGCATTGAGGACAGCCCTTCTTTAGCTGGGATGGCAGGGCGGAGCAGAACACGACAGCTCTGGTAACAGCTCCATCACCCTAACTCTGCAAAGACCCAGCATTTTCAGGTGGAGCAAGAATGAATCGAGGCGTTTGCAGGGGAGCAGATTCATGGGGTGGGAAAGGCACCAGGACTTTGATCACCATGAAAACAATCCCCACCAGTGGCCCCGGGAATGGGTTTTCTGTCACATAAATTGGACTTTGCTGGTTGGGTTTTCTTCCTCACCAGCATTCAGCACCAGCGTCCCAGCTTCCTGTAGGAGTCCCGGGAACAGTCTGGACACTTGGTTTCTTGTCCCTTTAGATGGTTTCTTTGAGGGCAGAAGGGCCCATCTGTTGGAGAGAAATCTCTTCGCTCTTCTCTTCCATATCCTTCAAGGCAGGGCCCCCTTTGGCTCTGTTGAAAAGAAAATGCACTGAGAGGAACAGGGTGGATGGAGGTGTTGGGTCGAGTCCCACAGCCCAAAAGGCAGGTGGGAGCCCTCTCAGTGATCCTCCCTCTGGGTTCTCTTGGGGTGGCTCAGTGTCCACCCTCCTTTCTGCTGCATCCCTGCTCCTTCCCTATCCTTGGGACCAGCTGCTGGGCTCACTGAACTCAGCAGCAGAAGACCCCTGGGGATATTGCCTTCTTCCCTTGCCCTGGGCATGTGAGAATCATCTCAGAAGGCAGAAAGGTGGAAGGTCCTGGGCCGGCCCTGCCCTGGGCTACTCTTTAGGGGATTGCTGACAGGCAGAGAAGTCACCTGGACACTGAGCTCCCTTAGCCCCACCAAGCCCGGTGGTGGCCCTAGAGGACTCCCATCCTTTGAACCGGGTCTCTGCCAGTTTTGTCTTTCTCTCCCCTAACCTTCTAGTCTTTTCAGGGCTTTATGTTCTGGTCTAGTTTAGTCTATCCTTGAGTTGTACTGAGAATATTCTGTTTCCCCACTGAAGTGTCTTATTTTTTGTTATCTTCTTGCTTTTTAATCACCATATTTTCAGTTTGTATGCAAGGGAGGCAGACTATGGCAATAGGGAGAGATGGTTGTATAAACAGGGGTTGATAAAATATATATACATATATATTAAGGAAAAGGGGAGTCAGATTTTACAGAGTCAGAGAGAGGAATTAACAAATATGAAAGAAGAAGAAGAAAAGAACTAGAATGCACTAGTGTTGTGATCTTGAATTGGAACTGGAAGATTGCTGTGAATTTTTTCGTTTTCAATGTGATCAGCAGTTCTAGATATAGGAACAAAGATGTAAAAATGGGTGTATCAATATGTACTTGCTTGTGATCCTTACTGAGCCCACTGAAAAGGTCTAAGATCAAGGAAACCCCATTAACAGTGAGCAACTCACACCCAGATCTTGGCTTCCAAATACCATTGTCTACTAAAAGAAACCAGGGCACTTGGGGAAATGGCTGCTTCTAGAATTGCTACAGGGAAAGTATATGGTGAGCCTAGAACATCTTGTACCAGAAAACCAGGACATGCCTAAAAATGTCACAATGGCTAAACCAGAACAACTGAGCATGAAAAGAGAATATATATATATGAAAAGAGAATTTTTTTAAATCTATAGTGATATAAGATATAAGGCGCTCTGGTAGCGTAGTGGTTACGAATCAGGCTGCGAACTGCAAGGTCAGCAGTTTGAAACTTCCAGCGGTTCCGCGGGAGAAAGATGAGGCTTTCTGCTCCCGTAAAGATTTACAGCCTCAGAAACCCTGTGCAGGGTCACTATGAGTCTGAACCGACTCCACAGTACTTAACAACAACAACAACAACAACATAGTGATATAAATGGAATCCTGGTGTGGTACTGCAGGAGACTGCACTGGACCAAAAGGTTGGTTTGAATCACAAAGTCTGTAGTTCAAACTCACCAGCCCCTCCCCAGAAACACTATACAGGGTCGCTATGAATTGGAACCAACTCGTCAGGCACTTAACAGCAAGTGATATAAATAAGGTCCCTGGGTGGTAAATATGGTTTGTGATTCATTATTATTCTCAAGGTTGGCATCTCATTTAGCAGCACTGCAGAAGAAAGACCTGGCCACTGGCATTCATAAAGATGACAGCTAAGAGAACTCTATAGAGCAATCTAACTCTGCAACACATGGGGTTGGCGTGAGCTAGAGTCAAGTCTGGTAGCGTAGTGGTTACGAATCGGGCTGCGAACCTTAAGGTCAGCGGTTCGAAACTACCAGCTGCTCCGCGGGGGAAAGATGAGGCTTATCTACTCCCGTAAAGATTTACACCCTCGGAAACCCTGTACAGGGTCGCTATGGGTCGGAACCGACTCGACAGCACATAACAACAACAACAACAACAGAGTCAAGTCCACAGCAATGTTGTTGTTAAGTGCCTTCGAGTCAGTTCTGACTCATAGTGACCTGTATAGGATTTCAGAGAAGCAGCTGGTGGGTTTGAACCACCGACCTTGTGGTTCACAGTCCAGTGCTTATCTTATAGCACCACACCAGGAGAACTCAACAGCAAAAGGACTAGTTTTTTGCTTGTTTTTTTAGTAATATAAATAAAGAATTACATTGAAAGTTTAATGAGAAGCGGAGCTTTTAGTTTCATAGTATCTTGCCACAAAATATTACTTATCAAGGGAGAAAGAGTAACTTTACAGTGAAGAAGCCTAGCAGCTATCACCTTAATCAAATGACCCAAGGGGACATCAGCAGCCATGGGACAAGTCAAAATCAGGAACCACTGGATGGCACCTGTGTAGTTTCCAGGTAAAAATACAGAACCTGTCAACCAAAATGGAGGGAAATTCTACAAAATAACTGCTCTATAACCTTCAAAAGGAATCCTGGTAGTGGTTGCGCAGTGGGTTATGAGCTGGGCTGCTAACCACAAGGTCAGCAGTTTGAATCTACCAGTCGATCTGCAGGAGAAAGATGAGACTTTCTGCTCCTGTAAAGACTTATAGCCTCGGAAACCCTGTGCAGGGTTGCTGCCCATCAGAACTGACTTGGTGACATATAACACCCCCTCCTGCCCATCACAATCTTCAAAACTGTCAAGGTCAGGAAGTCAGACACAAAAGGACAAACAGTATATGATCTTATTTATGAAAATATCTAGAATAAGCAAATGCATAGAGACAAAGGTAGGCTGAGTGGTTGGTTACCAAGGGCTGGGAGTTAGGGAGAGGGGAATGGGAATTATTACTTACAAGGTACTAAGTAGCTGAACGTTTCAAGGGATGAAACCGTTTTGGAAATTGATAGCAGTGATGGCTGCTCAACATGGGAAATGTAAAGCCACTGAATTGTACATTTAATAATGGTTGTTGTTGTTAAGTGCCATCGAGTTGGTTCTGACCCATAGTGACCCTATATAGGGTTTCCAAGGAGCTACTGGTGAGCTTGAACCACTGACCTTATAGTTCAAACGACTTTGCAGTCTGGCACATTAACCCACAGTGCCACACCAGGACTCTTAACAATGGTTAAAGTAGCAAATTTTATGTTATATTTAATTCACCATAATTGAAAAATGACAAACGCTTGAGGTCATTGTATGTTGTTATTGTTAGGTGTCATCAAGTCGATACCGATTCATAGCAACCCTATGCACAACAGAACGAAACACTGCCCAGCTCAACCTCACAATTGTTGCCATGCTTGAGTCCATCGATGCTGCCACTTGGCCAGTCCATCTCACTGGGGGTCTTCCTCTTTTTCTCTGACCCTCCACCTTACCAAACATGATATCTTTCTCCAGAGACTGGTCCCTTCTGACAATATGTCCAAAGTATGAGAGACGAAGTTTGGCCATCCTGGCCTCCAAGGAGCACTCTGGCTGCACTTCCTCCAACACAGATCTATTGGTTCTTTTGGCAGCTCATGGCACTTTCAATATTCTTCTCCAACACCATAACACAAAAGCATCAATTCTTCTACGGTCTTCTGTCCAGCTTTCGCATGCATATGAGGTGATTGAAAATACCATGGCTTGGGTCAGGCACACCTTAGTCATCAAGCTGACATCTTTGCTCTTCAACACTTTAAAAAGGTCTTGTGCAGCACATTTGCCTAATGTAATACGTCGTTTGATTTCTTGGCTGCTGCTTCCATGAGTGTTGATAGTTTATTGAAGAAGAATGAAGTCCTTGACAACTTCAATCTTTTCTCTGTTGATAAGAATGTTGTTTATTGGTCCAGTGGTGAGGATTTTTGCTTTCTTTACATTGAGAGGTCATTGTATAGGATAGGGTTAACTCACAGCTGGTCTGTGGTAGCTCTAAGCTCACCTCCAAAGACACCTGGAGATAGGATACTGACCTTCAATTAAGAATAGGGTGAAGCATACTTGCCAGTAAGTTAAAACTCCTGTTAAATCTAAATTTCCCTGGAGGCACCCTCTGCCAGTTTGTCTATGTTGTTTATTGGAATAATCTAGATTCGTGGTCTGCACCTGGCTTACCTGACCACACAGCCTGGTTTGGGGCTCTGTGACTTATGGCACATTGTTGTTGTTGTTAAGTGCCATCAAGTCAGTTCCGATCCATAGCGACCCTCTAGAGGGTTTCCAAGGAGCGACTGGTGAGTTTGAACCACCAACCTTGCAGTTCAAATTGACTTTGTAGTCTAGCACAATAACCCACAGTGCCACACCTATTATGGAACATAATAGGTCCTTAATAAATTGGATGTCTTGGTTTCCCTGACATCTCTCATACTCACCTTGGTGGCTTGTGATACAGAGATGGAGAGCATTCTGAGAGGCCAAGAAAGGACCCTGGGAGGTCCACCTGGACACCTTAGCCTCCCTGATGTTTGCCTGGATTTTCTTCCTCATTCTTTGTCTTACGAGAGCCTTCTTAAAGTATATCTTTGGAGTCTAGTTAGTCCTTTCAGTTAGGAAACCAACTGCCATGGAGTTGATTCTTAACACATGGTGATCTCATGTGTTGCAGAGTAGGACTGCACGCCGTAGGATTTGCAAAGCTGTGACCTTTCTGAAGCTGATCGCTAGATCTGTCTTCTGTTGTGCCTCTGAGAGGACTTGAATGGACAACCTTTCAGCAAGTAGTTGAGCTCTTAACTCTTTATATTACCTAGTGACCAATGAGAAAACTCTATGCAAATTTTGTAGTCATGAATGTCAAAGACAGCCTAGTCGGAAGGAGACGCTCTGGATAAATGCCATTTGAGATTCTGAATTGGGTCTTCTTGTTTTATAGAAAATGTCTTATAAGGAAATCAGCAAAATTGGAACCAGAGGATGAAATGGTAGTGTCATGGATTGTACTGTGTCCTCCTAAAGTAAATGCCAACTCTTCTTGTGGATAACCTTCGTCTATTTGGGAATAGGGTTTCTTTGTTATGTTAATCAGGCAGCATTAGTATAGCCACTATTTTGAATTAATCCTTTTTGAGATATAAAAGTATGCAAGCACAAATGGAGGGGCCTTTAGGTATTTGCCACATGATCACCAAGGGCTCTCCCCCAGACTGGATAGTGAGAGAAACCCTTCCCATAGAGCCGACACTATAAACTTGGACTTCTCTAGTCTCTAAGGAGCTCTGGTAGCGTAGTGGTTACGAATCGGGCTGCGAACCTTAAGGTCAGCGGTTCGAAACTACTAGCCGCTCCGCGGGAGAAAGATGAGGCTTTCTACTCCTGTAAAGATTTACACCCTTGGAAACCCTGTACAGGGTCGCTATGGGTCGGAACCGACTCGACG